CAAGTAACCATTAACGACTGATAGTTACAGGCTGTTCACATTAAAAAACATTCCCTTGAAACTGGAATGGACAGATGCAATTTCAAAGATGTAGCAGAGGTTTTTAAGTACAAGCTACCAACATTATGCATCTTCATTATTTGGCTCCCACAAAATATAAAAATACTTTAGAGGTTAGAGTTAACAAAGCACTAAAATTCATTTTTAAGGTTAAAAAGCAAACATAAAAATTATAATTGGCATCAAGTTTCTTCTGAAAGGAGAGAAAAGTCAGCCTTCAATAAACATATATAGTCAAAGATTCTTTCAGGCAGCTCACTTTTAGAAGAAAACTCAAGCAAGAGTTGGTAGAACTCACAGATCAGCAATATTTTAAAGTAGAAACCAGATTTGCTTCAGATAGTTCTCCATTATTTTGTTCCCTGTCCCCTAATTGGGATCCCAATCAGATTAAAAAAAGCTACCCTATTTCCCTATAGAACCACTATGTTGCAGTGTGATGGCATTTCCTGTTTCACCTATCCCAACCCCCCAGGTGTGCCAACCTTTCCTTTCCCCTTTGCCCTCCTGCTAAGAGCTGTCCCTCAATCTTAACATTCCAGCAGGGTCGTGGTGTGGGTGGCAGAAGTTCAAAAGATGCCCCTCAGGTCCGGGCTCATTGGCCTGTCCAAGTGTCTTTGTCCCTTGAGCCTTCCCCTCCTCACACCTGGTTGGCCCTCACCTGTCCCTTCTCCTCCCCCTGTCCCCCGGGCTTAAAAGGAGATGGGACCATGTGGTCTGGATTCTGTTGGGAGCTGTTACCAGATTCAGAGGTCTGTCATCCTGGAATAAAACTCTGGATTAAAACTCTATGATAGAATCCTCTCCTGTTTCTCTTCACCGTCGCCTGAACCTTTTCCACCAGAGGTAAACTGAGTTCCTACTTTGCCTGGATTTGTTCTGAGTGCCCAGCTGCAGCATCCAGCCAGCCAAAGGCATCTCTGGGGTGAAACACCACAGCTGCTGCCTTTGGTCCAGCAGCAAGGGTCACACAGGGCCAGGCACGTCCCACCCAGAAATATTGGGATTAATATTCCGTACCACTAGAACACATTAACTCATATACTTCAAGTATTCAGCACAGAAAAAAGCCCCAGTATGTACCTAAGAGAATTAACTTCTTTGAATGAAATTAACTTTGTCTGTGGGAGCTGAAACAGAAACTCCTGTAAAGCTTGACTTATAAACAGTGTGTTCAGTGGCTGATGCTGCACCAGAGTAGTGCAGAAAGAAAGAATAATTTACACACCCATCACACCACCAAACAACAGAGGGAACCTGAAACTGCTCATATGTTTCAGTTCATTAAAGTCCCAGGCATTATCTCAAGATTTAACACTCCTACCAAAATCAACACAGTGAAAAGAAACATTTTTCTACTCATTTTTCATCTCAAGTACCATAAATGTAAAAGTTCATAAAACAAAACATGCATAGACTGAAAAAAAAAATGTTTACACCACCTCCTCCAAAAAAAGACTCCTCAGATTTTTTTTTTGTATGAGCTCATGTGTTTTGGACTCTTAGCTTTCCAAGATGTATTTAGATATGTTGTTCTTCAGACATAGAACTCAAATCCTTTAAAAGTTAGGAGACAGCAACTCCACTAAGAGGCAAAGCAGCTTGATCAACAATCTGCCTCTCTTAGAATGACTACTGAATAATTAATTTGCAGCTGTCTGCCTCAAGTAGACCTATAGAATGCTCCATTTCCAGAACTCATGCAGCTTTTTCTGCCTCACACATCCTCTGAGGCAGTACACTATCAGGTTTTCTTCTCTGGTTTCTCAGAACAATACCCCTTTGGCACATAAATTCTTTTAAGCATATTGTTACAGTTACATTTTTCTACCTACACTCTTTATTCCTGGAATATACATTTCAGTGAAGACAGCTTTTTCCCAGCCATCCATAAATTATTTTGGAGCAATCGAGTGACATCTGTAAATATTTCATTTAGTTTCACAAACCCAAACAAACCTCTTCCAAAGCACGGAAACAGTGGGACGCTTTTACATCGATTTTCAGCGTGGAAGAGTGAAAAAAGTTAGTGCTTACTGGCACGGCCCCGAGAAGCGGGCAGAAATGAGTTTGTGAAGAGAGAGGCAGACGCGGGCGCTGCAGAGCCCGCGGGTCGCCGCCAGAGGCCGCTGCAGGACCCGGCAGGGCTCGCCCTCCTTCCCCGAGGAGGCAAAGCACCGGAGCCAGCTTACAAAAACCTCACTCTGAACACGCTCTAACTCTCCAGAAAGGAATGGAAATAGCAAAAGGTTTCCTTAAAGGTTCTCAATTCTACCGGAGAGGTTTTTGTCCCCATTTTTGTTGTGGTCCCACTGGAATTTTTAAGCATTTTCAATATACTGCTATTTTACATTATGCTACAACCAGTTCATGCTCTGCCACTTAGGTTCTTTTTAGTGTGGATCAACAACAAAGAACAACACAGAAGTAATAAAATGCCAAGTTTATTATAGGACAGAAAGCTAAATTGAGTGTAAAATTTACGGAAAAGTTATGCAAATCCTGGAAAAAACTGGAAAGCACAGTCTTTTATGGCACACCACCATGTGAATGGAAGGGTTTGGAGTGAGTACTCCAGAGGGCTTTTAGATCTCCATGTCACTGCCAAACATTCACATTATTCTATTACTAAGAGTTCAGCCCCAATATGCAGGTCCTAGTGGATCAGGTTTACACAGAGCTTCCATTGGTGGGGATGAAACAACATTTTCAAAGAAATCAAACAGAAACCAAAGCTGGCCCTGTTTTGCAGTTTCCAGTGAGCTGAACTTCCTTCAGTAGCTCACACTTCCTGCTGCTACATTCCAGCTTCAAGTTTTTTACCCGGTAACACACAAAGTAACCACTTTGCATCATGTTTTTAAAAGTGATAACTTCACACTTCCAGATGCACAACTTCATGGACTCAGAATTATTAAGGTTTTTACTTTTTAATTACTAAGGAAAAGACCTCAAAGGTCATTGAATCCAGCTGTTAACACAACAGTGCCAAGTCCACTGCTAAAGCACATTCCCAAGTGCCACATTCACATGTCTTTTGAATATTTCTAGGGATGGCGATCCCACCACTTTCCTGGGCAGCCTGTTCCAATGCCTGATTGCCCTTTCAGTGAATAAATTTTTACTAATATTCAATCTTATAGATTAGGAAAAAAAAGAATATTTTTTAGAAAAAAAATATTAGAAAAAAAAATCAGTGGCACAACTTGAAGTGATTTCTTTTCCTCCTATCCCTTGTTACTTGGGAAAGGAGGCCAACCTTCACCTTGCTACTGCCTCCTTTCAGGTGGTTGTAGAGAACAGGAAGGTGCCCCCTAAACTTTCTTTTCTCCAGGCTAAACGACCCAGCTCCCACAGCCATTCCCCATAAAACTTGTGCTCCAGACCCTTCGCCAGCTCCGCTGCCCTTCTCTGGACACATTCCAGCACCTCAATATTCTTTTTGTAGTGAGGAGCCCAAAACTGGACACAGGATTCAAGGTGCAGCCTCAGCAGTGGCAGGTACAGGGGGACAATCCCTGCCCTGCTGGCCACAAGTGCTGATACAGGCCAGGATGCCCTTGGCCTTCTTGGTCACCTGAGCACACGGCTGGCTCATCTTCAGGCAACTGTCTATCAGCACAGCCAGGTCCTTTTCTGCTGGACCAGCTTCCAGACACTTTTCCTGCATCCTGTAGCACTGCCTGATGCAACAGATCCCTCGGCAGAGCCTTGTCACCCTCTGAGCCAATGGGAGCATCATTCTACTCCCCGTTCCCTTCATCTGGCTCAGGGCTGTCCATCACAATGGCAACTAGCTTTGTCATTAAAGAGCAAGGAAAAGAAGATGTTTTGTACCACAGCCTTTTCCTCATCCTTTACCACAGTTTCTTCTTACATCCCACAATAGGATAAACATTTTCCTTAGTTCTCCTTTTGCTGCTGATATATCTGCAAATACATTTGGTTGTCTTTTACTCTTTTACAGCAGTAGTCAGATTAAGTACTAGGTGGGTTTTGGCCCTTCTAATTTTCTCTCAGTATAACCTTACAACATCCCTGTAGTCCCCCTGGGTTGCCTGACCCTTCTTCCAGAAGCATCAACTTACTATCTACCCGCGCTTGTGCCCTCCCTAATGGCAGCAACACCTGATGGTGGGACATGGCTCACACACCTACCGGGAACGCGGAGTTACAGAACCACCTTGGCTGCAAAAGGCCTCTGAGATGCTGACATCGAGTCCAACCCATGACCGAACCCATGTCACCTAGACCATGACACCCAGTACTGCATCCAGCCTTTCCTTAAACACCTCCAGGAACAGTGACTCCACTCGTTTGGCATTCCAAGGTCCATCCCCGGGGCCCTTGCCAGGCGCTGCTTTCCCCGGGAAGCCCTACCCTGGCCCAGCCAACACAACCCGGCGAGGGTCCAACCCCTCAGCCCAAGCTCCGAGGCCAAGCCGAGTCCCGCATCCCTCCCGTCCCAGCAGCGCTCTGAGCCCGTACGGGCTGGGCGGCCGCCGTGGAGGCTGCGGAGCGACCCAAGCTTTGCGGAAGCGGGGAGGCGCAGCCCGTGCCCACCCCTTGCCAGTGCCTCAGGATCGGTCACCCCCTTTCCCGGTGCCTCAGGATCAGCCGCCCCCTCCCCAGGGGAAGCGCGAGGCACCCACGCGCCCGGACTCACTCCTCATCCCCCGCCGCGATCCACGGCCGCTTCCGGCTTCCGCCTTCCGCCCTCCGCCGCTCCCGGCCCCGCCCCGGCCCGCGCCCCTCCGCGGGCGTGCCCCAAAGCCCCGCCCTCTGGCCACGCCCCTCAGCGTCCCTCCCTCTCCTCGGGCCCCGCCCTGCGCGGAGGGGGCGTGGCCGCGCGCCGGGGCGCCGCTGGCGGTTGGCCGCGGGAAGTCTCGCGCGAGCGGGGATCCGGAAGCGGCAGCAGGGCGGGTGGGAGGCCGGCGAGGAGGCGGTGGCGGGGAGTCGCTGTGGCCGCAGGTGGCGGCAGCGCCCGCGGCGACAGCGGCGTCGTCAACATCATCAGCACCATCGACAGGGGCCTGGCAGCGGCTCGGGCCCCCGCCCCGCCAGGACCGGTGTCTGCGGCGGCATCTCCGCGCAGGCTTTGCCGCGGTAGCGCCCCGGCAGCGGTCGCGCCGCGCCGGGCTGTAAGATGGCGGCGGCGGCGGCCGGCGGGGGCGGCAGTGTGAACCCCTTCCTCAGCGACTCGGAGGAGGACGAGCCCGAGGAGGCCCGGCCCGGCGGCGGCAGCAGCAGCAGCACCGAGCCGGGCGGGCCGGCGTACCCGCAGCAGCAGCCGGAGCCGGCGGCGGGGAGCCCCGAGGAGCTGCCGGGTCTGCGAGCGGCGGCGCCCGGCGATGCTGCCGCGGGGGCCGGGGAGCTGCCGCGGGTGCCGATGGACGCGATAGCGGCGCAGCTGCTGCGGGACCAGTTCCTGCTGACGGCGCTGGAGCTGCACACGGAGCTGCTGGAGAGCGGCCGGGAGCTGCCCCGGCTCCGCGATTTCTTCTCCAACCCGGGCAACTTCGAGCGGCAGAGCGGCACGCCGCCCGCCGGCGGGGCCCTGGGCAGCCTGGGCGGCAGCAGCGGGCTCGGGGGAGCCGGCGGCAGGGAGCCCGGGGCCGGGCAGCTCAGTAAGTGACCCTGGCTCGGGGCCCGGGGGGCTCCGGGAGGCGGGGACAGCCGCCGGTGGGTGCACGGGGCTGGGCGGGGGTGGCTTTCGGTGTCGCTGGGCGGCCGGGAAAGGCGCTTAGCATCGCTCCTTTAGTCATTCCTTGTTCTCTGTAACCTGTGCGGGAATGGCGGAGGCTGTAGGAGCTGTGCAGAGGGGGCTGAGGAGGGGCGCTGCCAGGTCCGGTGTTACCCTGGTGCCACAGGCGTAGTTTCATCGAGCTTCGGTATCCCTGCGAACATCACGGGTATTTGCCAAGTGTGGGAGAAATTGTTTCCAGCAGCGTCTTTAGCGCTCACTTCCAAGAGATAAGTCGTACGGTGTTGGGAGAAAGAATGGGGTGTTAAGCCGTGAGTGCCACATATAAAGTCTAAAACCTGTCAGAAATGGGGTATAAGGAGCCAGGGTGTTATTTTTGGTGCTGCAACTAAAGACAGGTCTGAGTTTCACAGCTCTTGCACAACTAATACAATGCTTCCTATAATTAACACTACCATGTTTACCAAGTGTCTGCAATCTTTGGCTAGCCAAGGAGATGGGGAACTCAGTAATACTGAGTTGGTAAAAGTTTAGGGAGCAAAAGGAGTGCAGGTATTCGGACAGTTGTCACACAGCTGGCCTTATCAGCTTTTGTGTTTTAAAAGTAGCACACATGGCTTAGAATAAAATCACTTCAGTGTCTTGTCAGTGTTGCTGTCCAGACACAGGGTTCTACAAAGGAGGTAGCCTGTGGAGGTGGCTTTGGGAAAGAGAAGCTGACCAGCCACCTGAGTCTGAGGACTTAATGAACTCGTGGGAAGATTTTGAAAGGAATTGTGGGTAGCAGACAGGTGAAAGACATAATTATGTGTTTACCAAGATACCTAAAGGCATTTTGTGAATAGTCCTATATTTTCGTTTAAGAGTTTCTAATGTTGGAAAGACACAAAGTTACACTTTAAATTTGGAAATAACTAGTAGCATCTGGATGGCTGGGGTAATAGACATCTAAACTTCAACTTGTTAGTGCATTTGAAGGTCTTTTAAAAATGTATGGCTTCTTTTAAAATTCCTGCTGTGTTGTTTATGTTCTGCTTGTCTTGTTTGTGAATTATTAGAATTTCATACTTCTCTTTGTCCAATTGAGAGCTTCAGTGTGATCTTCTTCATGATATGATTAGTGAATGTTGGAAAACTTGTGCTTCGGGGCTTTGAACTGATAAAAATTTCTGTTTCATCCCCAAGTTGCTTCCTTGGGGATTCCAGTCAATTAATCTTATTGATTAAATATTCTCTTTTCTTTGTTAACATAGTACGTTGTTTCCAGTTATTGACACTGCACATACTCCAGAATTAGAAAAAACAGCAGCCTGTGTAGCTGTGTTGTTATGCATGGAAAAAAAAAAAGACCTAAGACCTCTTCCAGTCTTAGAGCAATGCAAAATTATGTAAGAACATCTTAATTATTATTTTGCTGACTTGCTAATTGATAGATGCCTGTGGGATGTCCCTATTAAAAGAAGGAGGGAGGAGGCCCTAGCAGTGCGAGAGAGAGAAGGGGGGACTAACACTTAATTTGGACAAGTTTAATAATACTGAAGTGCTGAAATTAAATATCATGCTAGACCTTATGCTAAAGGTGTGTCTTGAAATCTGATATCTACAATAAGTTAGAGAGTGCATTTCAAAGGATTTTTTTTGTATCAACAGTGATTCAAAAGGCACTTCACATTAAGTGACATTGAAAGGTGACAGATGCAGAACAATGAAAAAATATTTTTATATAGCTCAAGTAGATTTTTTAACTTAGTGCCATCAGATTTTCTTGCAGTCTGAAGTCTGGCATTGAGCTCGCAATTGTGATAGCACTGTTCAGACTGATTCTGATTGAACAAGAGCTGATAGTCTCGTGCCTCTGTAGTTATGTCATTTTCCAAATACTAAAATGTAGATTGCAGAAGACTCTAATGGGCTGAAAATCATGGTCTTTGGAAGAGTTCCCTCACTTTTTTCCTGAGCATCTGGTATTATTTCATTTAGGTAGGTGGCTGAGCTGTAGTTCAGATCCAAGAATAAGTCTAAACAGTTTCCTAAGTTAGTCAAAATGTCCCGTTTTGTTGAGAGATCCAGTCTCTTTTACCTGTCTTTATAAGAGAGTTGTGCATGTACCTTCTCTTGCTTTAACATGCCCAAAGGTATTTGAGAATGAACTACTAGTTTTCTTAATAGAAACGATGGATGTAGAAAGTAGTGCAGGTTGGCATGATTGCCATTTCAAGGTCATGTGAATCTTATGCTTCAGTGAAAAAAATTCATAACATCATTAAAAAAGTTATTTCTATTTATTTCTGAATTTGTTCTCAGTGCTTTGTAGCTGCTCCTCCCAGCCCCCAAGTTAGATTAATTTCTCTGGCTTTATTCTGACATTTTTCATAATTGGAGTGGATGCAGAAAGAGTATGACTGGCAATTCTTATTGAATGTGAAGTATGTTTGGAATGCTGCCTGAGGATTTCCACTGAGCAATAGAAGCTTTCGTACTTTACGTGCTGTACAGAATGGGAGAATTTCAGTACAAGTGTTCGTTGCCTAAAAGGACTCTGAGAAGTGCCAGTCTAAACTCTGAGTGCGTGCTGGAATTTATTTTGGTGTGGTTTTATTTCTTCTCTTCGTCTTCAAAGACTGTTACAAAAAGATTTTGCTCAAGTGTCATTGGATTTAAACAACCAGCATCATGTGGTCAGCGAGTGACTTAGAAGCTGTTTTGTCTTTGAACCATGCTTCAGAGCCCTTGGTTGCAACAGCAAATGACAGTCAGATGACTGGGATTTCTTAGCTCTTTGCAAAAACACCCTTCCTCTTTCCAGCAGCAGCAACATCACATCTACAAACTGAAATTAAGATATATTGTAATGAAAAATGTGGAAATGTTTCTTGTGTCTAACAACTTTGCTTTTCTAGTTTGAAGCATGTGAAGGAGATTACACTGTTCCTTTAGATGCCCACCACTGTGTACAGTCATCCTTCATGTCCTGTATCTCAGCCAGATGTTCCCAAACTTCTGAGAGCTTCTTCCATTAGTTTCAATAGCAGTAGTTTAATATCTGCTAGAGCACTGGATACCACTTTTCTAATGCTACTCATATGAGCAGTATGGTTTGGAAGTCCCTTCTTCTTCCTGTATTCCAGATCTTTTGCAAGACTTTAAATATACACATTAAATATAAATTTTTGTCCCTATTATTTTTGCATAAGAAGGAATAATACCAGTTGAGACACTCAAAATTTAGAAATAAAACTGTGGCTCAAATGTCTCATCTGTGTTCCTGGACCACAGATGTGTTTATTATACCCATGACTGTAATTCAAGCTTGTGCATATAGGGTGAAGAAAACTTCTTTTTAATGTGATTGATATGATGCCCTTTGGTTGCTATGTTTGATTAATGCCCTTTCCGGAAGGAATGCAGCTTATACTGGTAGGACTAGTGTTAGTCTTGAAATTTGCCATTTTTTTTTTCTTTATTGCTACAAAAGTGTGACATTCCCAAAATTTGAAATAGCTTTAATGAAAATTATAAGGGTTTTGAGCACTTATGTTACATTTGTGGTTTTCAGGAGATAATTTTTTTCTAGTTACAGCCGTAATAAAATTGTTTATAGCTTTCTGGGGATTTGATTCCAGTTATATTAAACTAATCCATGAGTACAAAGATATAAAGTATTGCTGCTTCTTCATAGTAAGCTCCAGGCTTTGCTTATGATTTGGGGTGTTTGATTTTCTTTGGGGGTTTTCTTTTGCGGGGGGGGAGTGGTGTGGAATATTGTAATGCATTGCTCTTTTTGTTTGTAGCCTTTGAAATTCAGATGTCCTACTAGAAAAAGTGAAGTGGGAAGAGTATACAGATTCTGCATTTGTGAGAGCGGGGTGTCTTGGTAACAGATCTTCTCAATTCTGAATCACAAACATTGTAATTTTGTAATTTTGTGTGGACCTTTGCCATATTTCAACTGATTTTTGTTCGGAATGAAAATATAGCAGAACAGGGCTACTTCCAGACAGTTCATTATATCTGAGTTTAAATAGCAGTCTAAATAAAACAGGAAATTGAGAAGATGGCAAATAATTTTTGTTCTAATGACTACTTCTTAGGTGTTTTGGTGTTGTCAGCTGAAGTCTTTGGCTTGTTACTATATGAAAGCAGACAGAAATACCTAGTCGTGTTGCCTGGATCTGCAGATAATGGGAGGTGGACTGGCAACTTGTGAGTAAGAGTGGTTTTACTACCTGATTTGGAATGCATGCTCCCCTGAGAAAGGATGGGATGGGAAGGTTCAGATAAATAGGTAATCAAAGCTGCTGGTAATCAACAGATGGGAAAGGCTGATTGTTGTCACTTTTAATGAAGTACAGAAAACATTTGAAAGGGTTGAGGTTTGTACGTAATGCTGAAAGAAAAGGAAGCGGAGTTCGCTTCAAACCTGGCAGAAAAGAGCAATGCCTGGAGGAAACCTGAGAGGTTTGATAGTGCTCTGATGTTGGCTTTACTGATAGAGAAGCCAGGTGAACTTTTCCTGTTGTGGCTTCTTTAAACCCACTCCATTTTACTGACACTGGTGTTTCTGACAGGTTTTCAGTAACATGCACTTACAAGCTGCTTATGTTAAGGCTTTTGCAACTGTTGGAATTGTCAAATGACTAAAACTGCGTGTGCTGGAAGCTGTCCCTGATGGATGAGTCTAAGCTTTGGCTGATGTATTGGTAGATTGTTCAGGAGACAGGTTAGTCCCCATAAGTATGTAACTACACAAAGAAGTAACAAGATAAGGTAGCCTGATAAGCATGACAATTATGGACAAAGGAGGACAGAGTAGAAGCCTCTCTTATTAGGCAGGTAGATATCAAGTTATCCACTGAGTAGCAAGTGACTGTCATGAGTATGTTGTATTTTCCTGTGTCCTAACTTAGTGCATGTTGTGGTTCT